TGACATTAAATCTGAAGTAGATATTTAAATAAATAAAATAGGAGTCTTAATAAATATTAATAATAATAATAATAAAGTAAAATTAAGCATATTTGTGATTATATCAAACATTCTTGAATTGCAATTGAATAGATATTAAAGAGGATTAAAAACATGTTCAAAATTCTAGCACATTCTCTTCAAAAACTAGACTTTATTAATAAAATTATAATCTAAAGAACTTATCTTGTTTTATACTATTTGATGAAACTAATAAATCAAACATGTAATAAAACTAATTTGACTATTTAAAAAAATATATATAAAATAAATAAATAAATACATATTTTATTAATTATTTTAATGATTAAAGGTTTATTATAGAATATAATATATTTAAGATCCATTAATAGTATTGAATGATTGTAATTGGTTCTTTGCAAATTAAGCAATTACACCCAATTTTCTTGCATCAACTACATCTAAACATTCTTTTGGTTGTTCCTATATCCTCCATATAAATATAATACTTCTTTAGATGGGCAAGTAGACATTGTATAAAGGATGTTAAGATTGGAGCGACATCAATTTTGTTGTTGCTTGGTTTTGTTTAATACTTAATAAATGATATCTGGATAATGGATACTATACAAATTTTTTCTTGGAATTGAACAATATAAAAGTAAATAGTGTATTCAGCAATTAATTATTGCATGAATATCATAATGTCAATTCTATACACATGGAATTTGAGATAGCTGCCACTAGTTGTAAGTGCATGTGTGGTTTTGTAAATCCAAGATATTAGATGATTGCTCCAACATGGATTCAAAGATAGTATTGGATGAAAAAATGATAAGATAACTATGTGCAAATATTTGTGACCATTCAATCTTGTACTTTGTTTAAGTTGACAATGGTTCCATACTTTGTATAAGTTGACAATGTATTAACAATGATACTTTGTTATCAAGATCCAAGAGTTTAGATATTCTACAATATTTAAAGTCATATGGTCAAATTGATTTCTATCAAATTGTAACAATATCTATTACAATGGTCCAATGTTCTTCAAGTACTCCATAGCTTCTTTAGATATAACTCGGATTTTTGAAAGTTAAATGTTGAAATTTGAAATAATTAGTACTAGTACTACTATCCAAAGTTGTCGTATAAGTATTGGATTTTGAATTATTGTTGTAAATTCTCAACTTATTGGCCTATACAAAATGAATGTTTGCAATTAGAAATGCATGGTTAACAACTTCACTAAGAACCATAGCTATGAATCAATATTGCAAGTTATGTAAGTTAGTATTTTAGGTAATAAAAATTAAAGAAAGACTTCATCAACTTCTAATTTTGCATAACTCTTGAGATTCACTATTTTAATTTTATAACAATGTGCTTTTAATGTAGAATAGCTATCTTTATACAAGCCAATTAATTGAGAAATAACTTTTTTTTTCTACACTATATCATCAAGTAGAATACCATAATGCTCTCATTATATTAAATATCTTTTTGGGTATCTATAGCTTTATATTGTAGTATAATATTCAACTTGTTCCTTACAATACTTGCTACATAATGTGTACTAGTATGTCGGTTGCCTAAGTATTCAATACTAATGTATGTGTGTTTAGACACAAATATCTAAATAAAAATTTCACTTATACATATTGATTGAGATCTTAACACATGAAATTTCTATTTTTAAGTATTTTTGGAATACTTCATAGTGTATCTTTTTTGGTTAGACTTCATAATAGATGTTCTATGATAGTTGTTGATTGCATCATGAGAAATGACTTTCTTTAGTTTGTTACTATTACTAAAAAGAACATCTATAGTAAGAAAATTAATCATTTTGAAGTATAATTATTGCTCAAAAAGTCCTTGAGAAGATAATCTTGTCGAAAATCCAAAATGTAATAATTGTACTCAATATGCAAAACTAGGCCAATTTTCCAAAAAATACATTGAAAAAAGCCTTATGGCCCCTTACAAGGTCTTTGACTTCCTTTTATATTCAAATAAGTATGGAGGTGAATTATCTCTAATTACCGAATGTAATATGTCCAATAATAATATAACTATGTCAAAAATTCTATTAAAAATACTAAAGTAATTATAATTAAGGCATCTAAAAAAATATTCTATTGTAACTCTATAATTTTTTAAAAAGGAGGGCATTGACTACTCTATGTCCAATCTACCTATTGAAAAAAACATACTAGAACTTGTCACTTACTCTTTCTACTCTCAAACATGTCAAAAGAGTCTTTTCATTGAAAATTGAAATAAGCCACCTTTACTTTTATATATTACTTTTGATTTTATTTTGCTTTAATTTTACAAACTTTGAAATAAAAAATTAATATTACTAGAGGCCTCAAATTTTGATCCCCTCTAACTACTCATATACCAAGATTTTATATATAGGCACCTTTAACTTGAATTCAATAAAAATTGTGCTCCAAAAAAACTTGAACAAATCAAATAGCAAACGCAATATATGCTAGCAATTTAGGAGTAATTATAAAAATATAATTAATGTTTATTTTTTTATCAATGATCCTTGTTTATAAAAGGTTGTGCAATATATGAGCTTACATAGATCTATTAAGGCTATTTTTTTTTTGTTGCATGCTATACAATATAATAAGTAATATTAAATTCAAAAGTATAAAGCAATAAGAGCAATGCTATGATGTATGAATATAAGAATATACTAATAGCTTCAATAATTAAGTTGTGTAAACATAGACAATAGATTACACAAAGTATCTCATAATTTTTTTAGCGTGCCAAATACATCAAAATAAGCTTGAGTATTAAATAATTGCATCAAATATAAAGTCTTTCATCCCATGTAGCAAATTCAACTAAGAGCGACATGTATAATTAATACCTTTTTCTTTTGTAGAATAATTGTGCACTCTGAATCATTACAAATTTTTCCATTTGAATGTTATTATGCTACAAATAAATAGTTTCTATAGTTAAAAATTAAGATATTCTAAAAAAAAATGATGATTTGATACATTTTCATTTTGGCAATGTCAAATCAATCAATTAGTTTTAAGGCAATACATATGCATTTACAACATATCTTTCATGTGTTAATCCACTAAAGTCCATATATAAAGAGACTTTCATTGCATGGTAGCAATTTAAAACTAATAGTAGAAACATGACAAGCATCAAAAACTTCTTTCTAAGGCTATTAGACAATTAAAACTTTAGCATTGTAACTTAGATATCATTTGCATTTGAAACATGGCATGAACATTGTGAGACACTCCATTTCTCTATTTCATCACCCAAGCAATCATATATACAAAAGTGGCACCTTTGAGGTACAAAGTATGTAAACTACCTCAATAAGAAGAGAAACAAAGACATCAAAAAGAGGAGGAGGCAAGCATGATTGTGGAGGTCAAGAAGCCGCTAAACATATAAGAGAAAGAAAAATATTCTTCTTTCTTTTATATATTTAGTCTCTTTTTAACCTCCACAATCATGTATTTGAACTAATGTTTGAATAAACAAGAACTCAAACTAAGTATTGCACAAATATAGCCTAAAATGTAGAAAAAAGTATTGTGATAAAATTTGAGTGGCACTTACACTCGATGCACCTAAGAAAGGAAGATGGCTATAGCCTATTAAGTTTGAAGATAGATTTGCTATTATCAAGAATATTCATATATTCTTGATACTTTAGGGATATCTATGATATTTTTTAAAATTTTGATATACAACTTATACATAATTGTCATTGAAAATTCTTAGTATTTGTTTTGATTATTTTAACATTAAATAATGTATATTTTATTTTGTAGATGTACACAAAAAACAAAGAATAACACAATAGAGTTCTTTTGAATTAGTATAATTAAGAAAGTGAATTAAGTAATTAGTTTGTCCACATGCATTTTATTTCTAATATGATTCATGAATGGCAACTTTAAGAATTCAAAAAAATTAAAAATATATTTTATGATACAAAATTTTATTAATATATTGTACATATATCATTTTTTTATCAATTATATTTAAAATTTGATTCAAATAAATTATAAAAAATCATATATATGTATATATATATATATATATATACTCACTCTCTCACTCTCACACATGGAAGGTTATCAATTGTAAACCAACATACACAACACAAACCCTATTTTTCTTAAATATTTAATTGTACTATGACTTTAAACACCTTAAACCCTAACCCATATTTGTTTACATATACATAGGCTTTTAGGACATGAAACACGAACCTCATTTGATAGTCACAATTTACATTTTCTCATAAGTTATCTAAAATCAAGTTTCTATAAAAGCAATATTCAACCTCTATCATTTCATTCAACACACATTCAACTATCTTCTCAAAAATCACAAAATCTCACATCTATCAAAATACTAACTAAAGTAGCATACCAAAATTGACATGGAAAAAGTATACTTGTCCACACTTGCTTTCATTCATATATATATATATATATATGAAAACCATGAACTACATACAAACAAAATAAAAACAAAAAATAAAAATAAAAATCAATTATTCTATTATCACCACACACACACACACAGTTAGTTCTATATCCTTGACACATGTTGGTATCCACTCCACCAAGAGAAACTTACCCATTTTGCATGGTATTTTATCCCTCATTTCACGTAGTTACGTGTTTCTATTATCATGTTGGGCAAGTAAGTCGAAGAGGGTGGTGGGGGCAGCGAGAAAAAAGAATCTAAATATAATCTTCGAGGAATCTAAGAAAGCGGGCAGAGGCAAAATGGGCACGAGGGCGAGAGAGAGCGAGAGAGGGGCCATCGTCGCGGCGCTCTGTCACGAGACCCTCGTTCATTCAATCCCTCACACCCCATCCCACCACACCATAGAGTGAAAAAAAAAACAAAAAATATCATCCCCGTGCTGTGTCAGAGTGGTGGGATGTGGCGAAGTCATCGCTGAGTGCGGAAATCGTCGAACAGAAATCGGGCTCAATGATATATCATCATATAGATCTTCCATCTGCTTCCCACTCTCCCAGACCGCCGTTACGATCTCGTGACGACGAGCTTGAGGGAATTCTCACCTTGAGGCGGTGGTGGTGAGGGGTGAGGAGTGAATGCGCATGAGAGCAGCGGACTGTGTCGTGTTGGAGGTGAACAATGGGCAGCTGGGTTTCGATCCAGGCTGGTGATGGTTTTCATGTAGCATAAGCTCCAATGCGTCGTGGGTGTGCTCTACAGGATGAAAGTTAGAGAGTGGGTGAGTGGCTGTGGGAGTGTAGATTTGTGGTGGGTTGGGTTAGATTTGTGAAACAGTGGAGCTTGGTAAGAGTGCGAAAGGGTTGACAGTATGGTGCAAACGACGTGCCTGTTGCATTCCTCTAGGGTTGTCAGTGTCGCCGCCGCTTCTTCTGCTCATGGCAAGCGAGGTGGGAATTCGTCAGGATCTTTGGGTCTAGAGAGAAGCTTGATTAAATCTCGTGATGGTGTTTACTTCCTTGTTGCTAATGCACCACAGCTGGTGCGATCCTCCGTTCGCCACCGTGCCGCCATCCGGTGCGAAGCGGGTGGTGTGTCGGAGTCCACCATCCTCACGGTTGCTGATGTGTCTACACAGAATGGCGGCATGAGCAATGCCGTACCGGTTCATGTGATTCACGAAGGGGATGGGTTTGATCAGCTTATGAGCCTCGCGACTCGGCCAGCGTCGGAGCGGAAATTTGAGTCGGCCTGGGCAGCTCAGCCAGCCACAGAGCAGGGAAGTGGGCAATCTCACCCTGTAGAGTTGGCTAGTAATTCAAAATATTCGTCGAGTTTACCCTCCGAGGGCGCTAATGAAGTAGCTGCGACGCCGGTTGCGGAGCAGGAGTCCTCCACAACTGAGCAAAAGCAAGCAAGCGCGACCAGGGGCGGAATGCCCCGGTGGAACATGTTGCTGAGCACGGAAGCGCTCGAGGATGCTCACTTGTTCCGCGCCTCCAGCGTCACGGATGCACACGTCTTGCGTAGGAAGGGACGCCTCAAAGAACAGGACGGTCTCATTGAATTCATTATCTCGATGCATAGCACGCACTCGCCCTTTCAGGCGATGGAGAAGGTGGAGCGTTGGGTGCGGGAGCACGTGGCGGATCCCAAGCGCAGCACACTTAACCGGCTTATCCCCAACATCGGACCGCGGTTTCACACGCCTCTTCCTTTGGTGCGGGCTCTCAACGAGTATGACGAGTTTGCGTCCCTCTCCCGGCGAAAATATGTCCCTCCGAATTTCGCTGATGTTCGTCATGTGCTGAACATCGCGCAGGTGCACGCTATAGCTGAGAAATTGTCGCTCATCACGTTCGACGCCGACGGGACAATTTACGCTGATGGGCACCATATCGAAGGCGACAACAAGATGATAGGACACATCATCAAGTTGATGCAACAAGGGATCCAGGTTGCCATTGTCACTGCTGCGGGCTACCCTGGCAACGCTGCCAAATTCGAGGACCGCTTGGCTGGATTGCTAGAAGCCTTCAAGGATCTCGAACTGCCGCCGTATGTCACGAGACTCTTTCACGTAATGGGAGGTGAATGCAATTATCTCCTGCGCGTGAATGAGCTGTACAGATTGGAATTTGTCCCGGACCAGCTCTGGAAATCGCCTGATATGCTGGCATGGAGGGAAGAGGACGTCACGGATCTCCTCGACAACGCCGAGAATGCCCTGAAATCCGCCGCCGCAAGGTTGGGTGTACCCATAAACATTGTACGCAAGCCCCGAGCCGTTGGTGCGGTGCCGAAGGATCCTACCATTTACGAGGTTCTGGAAGAGATGGCGCTCTCTGTGCAAATGCAGCTCCTGCAATCTAACCTCCCTTTCTGTGCCTTCAACGGCGGCAACGACGTCTTTGTTGACGTCGGCAACAAATCCGTGGGACTCAGGGCCCTCATGAAGTACTTGGACACGAAATGCTGCGAGACGCTGCACGTCGGGGACCGCTTCACCGCCAGTGGCAACGACATGGCCACTCGCTCTCAGTGCTCCATCCTGTGGGTTGCCAACCCGGAGGAGACTGCTTTCTTCGCTCGACTTCTGTTACGCGACATTCGATTAACCAAGCAGAAATTGTACATCGAGTGAAGAATTGTTCTCGGTGGTAGCCGATCCAGCTAACCATCGTCAGAGCGTTGTCCCCTCCCGCAAACTAGGTTGTAAGAATTTGCACAATTGAGGTTCTCTCCAGCAATCAATGGGAGGCTGAAAATTATGTACAGGGAATTGATACATAGACAAAAGTCAGCTGTAAGAGTAGAGGTTTGCAATAGCTCCGAGGACCTTCTTCCGCTGATTTGACGTGGTTTTCATGCATTGCTGTAACTAGAGCAACAACTGAGGTTGCGGTCTCTCGAAGGCTTAATAGTCGTCCTACAGTTGTTGCAGCCAGGAATGCTTTGCAGCCATGTACATAATAGAAGCAATTTGCAGTTGAAATCCATAGATATTTTAGGACGTTGGCACTGCCAAGCCAACCGGTTTGTATGTGGAACTTCAGACAATGTACATGTGTATCATGAAGTTTTCGATCGTAACTTCTTTGCACCTGGAGAACATTCATACACACATCCACACGCACGGACGCACATATGTATGTATATGTAAACATTTGGCAACACAAGCTTCATAGCGTATACCCCATCGTTTGAAAGCGGCAATGTAGCTGTTCTCTGCACAAACCTGCAAAACCTTCAAGAAAGAAGACTAGGCTTCACGAAGTCATAAACGAGCCGAATCTACAAACAGCGTTGTTCAGCGCAAAGTCGTTACCCAAAAGCGCAGCAACTTTTTTATTCTAAATAGACCTCGTCATTGCCCATCTGCATCTTTGGAATGCATGAGCTTTCTTTAGAAATTTCTTCATACCAGGACATGAGCATCTAGCTATCAGTCAGAAAGTTGCCGATAGTACCTACAGCTTTCATCAGCATCTAGCCAAAAGCGACTGTTAATAGCCATCCGGAGAGAGAAAACGAAGCAACTTGAGGAGTTAAAAGTGGCTCAATTGGCTGAAGCTGGGGCTGCTTGAATTACTGTGCTCAAACCGAGACAAAATGAGCATCTCTCTATCCGTTCCCTTTCGCTTAATTCTTTCTCTTGGATAAAGCAACGGAAGATTTTTTCTGCTGGACTTGGCCACCACCACCCACCATTAAATTGCTGTCGTGTGCTTGAGAAAACTGCTTTAAAACTGCTGTCTTGTGCTTCAGGCAGAGCCTAAACCCTAAATCCTAAACCCTAAATCCTAAACCCGCATCGTTTCCAGAGGAAGCATTCGAGCTCAGCAGCTGCGAAATCAGCTCAGATCACTCACTCATTAGCTTCATTGTTCCGCTGATCTGGTTCCTATGACGATTTTTGCAGCCCCCCTTCTTCTGTTTTTTTTTCCATTTTGTTCGTCTCAACCGCTTGTGGAGCCACTTTACTTTTTTATAAAGTTCATTTTATCCTGCCACGTCAGGATTGAGTTTTGGGTGCCTTTTTCTTAATCATCCAAGTTGATATCATGTGGCAAGATGCACATTTAGGGAGATTGTCCAACTGACTACTCTAGGAATATTAAATGATCTTAAGCTTTGGTTTGAAGGATGAGAGGATACTAGCTCAACACCAAATGTGTAACATAGAAATATGTACAAATATATATATGTTACCATGTTGTTGGATTAAAATGTGGTCTAATGTCTACAAGTCCAAAAAAATATCATAGCTAAGTTATTAAGTATATAATTCTTTTTAGTTAACATGTAAGTGTGTGAATATATATTTGAAATTAGAATTATCATGTTTTTTATTTGAAGTTGGTTAATAAAAAATCAAGGAATATTTCAGTATATTTACAGTAAGAAAGTTTTATATTTAGTTTTTTAAAATTATATTTAAATAGTAAAGTATGAATTTAATAATGTTGAAAGAAAATTGTTCTCCTGGATTTTTTTTATTTGTTTACAACTTCTACAATTATACATGAGAAGTTATTATACCAGATAATCTTGTATATTTTGATAAGATTATAAAGTATTGTATATACTTGTTTGCACTTATGTTATCTTTGGCATGAATTAAAAATTATTTTAAATTCTACTAGATGATTATAATGAATTTCTTTTGTATAATCTTGCACCGAATTACAAATGTTCGAAATGATGATATATATATATATATATATATATATATATATATATAAAATTTATCTAAAAAATTACTAATTTATGGATATTTTAAATTTAGTTACAATAGAAAGTTATAGTTTTAAAATCTTTTTTATGCAAATCTATTTTAAGTTTAATTTTAGTATGTTTTTTTTTACATGTATGCTATTAATTGTAATTTTAGAAAACATTTCCAAGACTTATGGCTTTACTTTGGCGATTGGATCATTGTTTTTGGATGACTTGTAAAATTTTGTTATTTTCTAAAATTAAGATACAATTTAGAAGTAAAATCATAAGATTTTTGTATAGGTATTTAATTACATATTGATTTAACTTGATCTCCTTAACTTTGATATATATATATATATATATATATATATATACAATTAATAGCATATATGTGAAAAAATTATAATTTTGTATGTAAATATATATATATATATATATATATATATATATATATATATATATATATATATATAATCATAAGATATTGGGATTTTATTTTTATTTTTATTTTTATTTTCTCCATGATAGGTTCAAGAATAAAATAGGATTGTGATTAAAAGAATAAAAAATATAGATGAAAGTATCAAAAAACTATCATAATTATTTTGACATTTTTTCTAATTAAAGAATATATGCCAGAACTAATAACATTATTAATAACAAGAAAAAAGAGTATTGTACTATAAATATTCTAAAAATAATAGGATCACAACATTTGTATTTCTTTAGAATCTTCAGTGTGCTTGATTTTAAGTTTTATTTGTTCTTTGGTTCAGAAATAGTTTTGGAGATATTATTTGTTCTTAATACAGAAAATATTTTTAGTATTTAAACCTAAATATAAATCTAAAGTGATATGATAGAATTTTATCTTATCAATTGTAATAGAAAAAATAATTTTTTTTAAAATATTGTTATTTCTACTACAATTGAATCCACTAATTGTTGGTACTCTTTTTTATGTTTTAAAATTTTGATTCTTTAAATAAGTGAATTTTTATCCTATATTTTAAAATGTCTAGAATAATTGCAAAGAAATATTGTTGCTCTTTCTTGAGCAATTGTGGCTTGAATGCCTAATATTTTAGTTTAAGACCAGATATAATATTCTAAAAATCTCCAAAATATCATCTTGTTTCTGGTGCAAGTTTGGTACTTGAAAAATAATTTATTTGTCATGTTTAGGATTTTTACAATATAAAATGTTTTAGAAATTATAATTTTAATGTATCCAAGTCAATTCAATTTGTGTTAAAGATTTTTTTAGGATTTAAATAAAATATATTTTAAATTGAGGCTATGTCTTTGAGATAGATTTTTTGATAATATAAACTTCTGGATCTATTAAGTCGAAATGTAAGTTGAAGGAATCTTTACACTTAGAAGGACAAGATGAGAGACTACAACCTTTCAATTATTGATTAGCTAAAATTGAAAAGTCTCAAGATTTCAATCAATCAAAGAAGTTCAGATTTGTTGCTTCTCATTGTCTTCTTTAGATATCATAATCTCTTTATTAATATTTAATAAAAAAATTCAAGTAATCAAAAATTAGAATTAAAAAATAAAAATAATATTATTATTAATAATTTAAATTATTATATATTAATAATTTAAATTATTATATATTAATAATTTAAATTATTATATATTAATAATATTTTTAACAAGATTATGTAAATTCTACAAAAAAAAAAAAGTAAAAAACTGATTTTTTTATTTTAGAATTAGTGATATATATATATATATATATATATATATATATACATACATAAATCGAGAATAAATATAGAATGGAAATTATAGTTTTTTAATATTATAATCACAATTAATCCAAAACATTATAGTGATCCATTCTAAAAAAAATTATATATATGCAATAGATTAATATAAATATATTCTTAAAAATAACCAGAAATTAAAAAGAAATTGAATTATTAGTTTAAAATTATACATTTCCATACATTTATATGTGCAAAATATTTGGTCACAACCACTATATATATATATATATATATATATATATATAGATAAGCATAAAACCATCTTAGAAGATTTCATGACTTTAGATGGGTTAGTTTAAAATAAACACAATCTTGTCATTTATAAGTATTGCAATACTTATATCTTTATTTAAGTCCTAAAGTTATTAAATAAAAATATAAAAGAAAAAATGTATTGAATAAATCACTAGTTTTAAATAAGTATATCTTATTTTTTTTAATATATTTACAACAAGATCCAAATTTCATTTTAAGAGTTTGGAAGTTTGAAAAATCGATATATATATATATATATATATATATATATATCGATTTTATGTAAATCGAATTTATGTGTAATTTAATAATATATATATATATATATATATTATTAAATTACACATAAATTCGATTTACATCTTAAATATTGTGGTCTTTGTAAATATAACAACCATATTTATGGTGCTTACATAGAAATTATGTTTTTAACACTATATATATATATACATATATATATATATACATATTCATAAATATCTGATTGCTTTAATAGTAATATTATCTTAACTTTTAAAAAAGTCCATATAATCTAAGATTATTTAGAATGTAGTACAAACTTAATGTGTTTCTAGGACTATTAATATACATGATATTTTATTAAAATGGTTTAATAACTTAAACACAAAGAAATAATCTGACTAAAATAATTGAATAGATACATTTTTATATTTATCATACATTTAAAAACCAAATAGTCTAAATATTTGTAAAAACAATTTATAAATTAATAATCCTATTATTTGGAATATAATATAAAAGTTAACAAAGAGTTTTTTTTTTCCTATACTTTGACATAAAATCGAGTTATATTTAATTACATTATTTTAACTAAAAATAAAAAACTACATTTATACTATTTTATTTTAGTTTTTTAGTATTATTAGAATTAAGTTATTGCAAAGAGAATAGGGAGGACAAGAGAAGTAAAAAGAACAATTACAAAACAAAAAAACAAAAAGAAGAAAAAGAAGAAAAATAAAGAAAAGAAAAAAAAATTTAAAAGATAAAAAATAATTTTTGTTTTAAAAAATTTTTTGTTCCATATTTAATGTGATATATATATATATATATATATATATAAAAAAAAAAAAAAAAAAAAAAAAAAAAAAAAAAATTGTGCAGTGATTTTTTTATTCAGTTGTGAATTCAACTTTTTTATACAAACTATAGTGTTCAAACTTGTCATTTAAACTATTCATGTATGATCGAATTTGTATAATATTTCTTGGTATTACTTTGTATGATTTTTTGACTAACTTTTTTAGTAAAAGGTATTTTTTTGTAAACATAAAAGTAATTAAAAATGAAAAAGATCAATATCAATTATAT